AGACGGGCCTTAGCTAACTTAAGCTAATCTTGCATGGCACACCTAATCGTTCGGTCGGTTAAGTCGCTTGGTTCACCCCCATTCCTATAACGAAAATGTAACTCAATTTAAATAAAAAACAACTGACAAAAAAAGGAAAATAAGTATGCTTGGAATAACTAGGTAACCTAAAAAATACGTATAAAAATAAACAAAAGTAAGGTTATGTTTTGAAGTTTCTATAATCATTTAACACACTGTACGTACATATAAAACAGTAGTTGTTGTAAAATGCAACAATTATTAAAGGAGTAGCTAAATTAAAACAATAATAGAAACTTACCCATGCTTTTAATTAACATCGTAAAAGCCAGGACGTCAAACCAACATGCAACAAAACGTGTACATAAATGAAAATACACGAACCGATGAACCTGCTTCCACAAACCATTCCCTACACTGAACAATAATACTACACATATGCATGAGTAGAAATGAGAAAAGACCGTACCACTAGTACGTCATCCTCCATCCGCCATCTAAAAATAGTTCCATGTGTATGGGGAATTTGTTATAAATATTACAGGTAATATAATTAAAAAAATATGGATGTAATGTAAATAAATATATCTATAAGCTTTTAATTTAAATAAACCTAAATATATACATATTATTTGCTTCTGTCTACTAGTTCATCGTAAACTGGTATTATGCGTTTAAGGTGACTTATATTTAAACGTAGAATAATATAGGTATATTAACTAGTATCGACAAACAAAAGCGTTTAATTTATTTGTTAAAAAACGTTAACGTATAAAAATGGTAGATGGTAAACGTTTAAAAAATCAACCAAGACGAAATTTAAACAGGAATTATAAACGAAGAAAACATATTGTAATATAATGTAAATTTATACGAATTTAATTTAAATAAACCTAAACGTATATTTAGGCCCACTGTATATAAATAGTTCATCGCAAACTAAAAATAGTCGTATATTGTTAACTATATTTAAACGTAGAAAAATTTACAATTATATACCATAGGATGTATATAAAAAACGTATAATATATCGTTTAAAACACGGTATGTATAATAATCGTAAACTGTAAACGTATACGGAATCAACCAATACCAAAATTAAACGAGTATTACGTATAAAATACGTTAGTTATACTAATGTGTGCTGCCTGGGGGAGTATAAAAAAAAGACGCACTAAAAAGCAGGCGGATTTAAGAAAGCAGACTGGAGCTTTAGAAAGTTTTTTGAAAGACTTCCCTGGATCAAGTAAGAAACAAGAAGAGTTAATTCCGGTACTGTCCAATGAAAAGGAACCTAATGCATCAGAATCTGATCCCTAATACCAATATTACAAAAATCATAAAATAGTTTGCTGAAATTAAAGTTGTGTGTGTGTGTGTGTGAGAGATATGGCTTCGGACGGTGTCCATTTGCCACAGAATGTTTAAATAATAGAAACGGAATACAGAAAAGAAAGAAATAAGAGTAGTGTCTCAAATATCTAGCTTAGTGTCGCATAAAAATTCAATTAAAATATCGAGGATATGTTTATCGGTGCTTGTCAGAAGGGATGTCAAATTTACTGGTAGAGGAAAATTGAGAGAGATTAAAGATTTATATAGCCCAGATGTTTGTAATGCATAATTTTGACATTCAAAGAAAAGGTGATTGGCGTCTCCAACCGACGTATTATTGTAAGTGCAAGTGGGAGAGTCTATGATTTTTATTTTATGTAAATGGGCAGGAAACCGTCCATGATTTAATTTGAGACGTGATAGTATAGAAGTATATTTTTTGGGTAAACCAAAATTGTTGAGATGAGGAATATTATTAGGAAGTTTCCTATGAAGTTAAAAATAATGACTATTTGAATTTTTAGAAACATCATGGTATTGGCTTATCCATCTGTTTCTTATGTTTTTCTTATGTGAATTGACGATATCAGGCAATGAAGAGACTTTGGTATATACACCGATCCTACAGGCAGCCTTAGCTTCTTGATCTACAATTTCATTTCCAGTGAGGCCACAGTGTCCTTTAACCCAAATAAAATTAATATTTTTGTTGATAGTCCTCAGATTATATAATAAATTTTTAATTTCAAATACAAGTTCTTGTCGATAAAATTTTATTGGAGAGCCAGGGTATCAGATAAGACTGACCAGTCCAATGTGTCCACTAATAAATGTGAAGTGAGGGAAAGGTCGACTGCAGAGTGATTTCCATTTGGGTTGATCCTAGTAGGAGTACCATCATTGAGGGTTACTAAATCTAAATGCTCTATAGCTTCAAATAAAATTTTTCCATTGCTATCATCTGGAATCGGACTCTACATATCATGATGACAATTGAAATCACCACAAAAAAGTGTGGACAAATTGAACTGTTCAAATAAATTTATCCAATCAGAAGGATTTACTATTAGATTTGGAGGTCTATAAATTGACACAATTGATACATCTGCTGAAGGTAGGTGAATTGCGCAAGCTTCAATATTACTACTAAAATTCAAAGATAATTTCAATTCCTTGTACACTAATGTCTCTGTTATAAATATTCCCACTCCACCGTAGCCATCATCTCTGCATTTTTGTATAAAGTTAAAGCCTTTTAAGTAGAATTTATTTTTAGGCTTCAGCCAGAGTTCAGATATTACTATAATGTCAACATGAAAAGTATTTATAAAATTAATAAGACTGGCTTTATTAGCCGTAATTGATCTACTATTCCATTGTAAAATTGTTAAGTTATTTATTTTTTTTAAGAAAATTCGTCATTTTCACTATCAGAAATTTCTATTAATGAGTTAGGTTTTTGTTGTTCTAGATATTCTGATCCATCTAACATTTTACTGACGATGTGCTTGAAATTTTCATCATTTATATTTACTTTATTATTTATTATATTACTTACTAAATTCTGGATTTCAAAAATTAACTTTTCTTTATATAATCTAAATTCTTCTCTATATGGATTAGGGAGGACTGAAGAATTAAAATTTGGTTTTTTAATATCGGAGCTAGTCGGAGGCGTTGATGGAGGTGATAATTTTTTCCTTTTTTTCGTTGAAGTGGTAGAAAGTTTTTGGGATTGTGGGGGTTTTGGTTTATTAAGAACGGCACTAAAACTACTAGTGGGAGCTGTTAATTCAGGAAAGTTCGTTACGTTTGATAAAAGTGCAAACCGATTATTAGTGATAATTTTGGAGTAAGAGGGGTTATTCACCAATGTTTCAGCTTCTTTAAAAGAAGCGTTTTCTGTTGCCATAACTTTTTTAATAGTATGCTGTTTATTATACATGGGACATGCTTTAGAAATTGAACTATGATCAATACTATCACAGTGAGTACAATGTTTTCTATTTTCTAGACAGGGGTTTAAAGTACAATCTTCATCGCCGCAGTTTTGACATTTTTTCTTGCCTTTGCACTGGTTTTTAGTATGGCCATATCTTAAACAGTTGAAGCACTGGACTACGGGGTAAATATACTGCTCTACTTGAAAGTTAACTAAATTAATTTTAACACAGTCCGGAATTTTGTTTCCTAAAAAGGTTACCACTATCGTTTGTGTATCTATGTATATACTTTACCTCTTTAGTATCTTTGTCTTGTATTTTTCGTTTCATCCGCCTAACATCAACTACCTTGATATTTGATTCGATATAATTTTTTAAATAATCTGTATTAAAGAATGTGTCAACCATACGTATTACACCTTTTTTATGTGTATAGAATTGTGCAATATAAGCTACTAATTTATTTTTGAGGACAACTTCATGATTTACTAGATAATTTGCTACATTGTATGTTTTAAAAATAACCTTTACTCTGTTTAATCCTATAGGTTTTATGTCTGTGATGTTTTGTTGAAATTCAGGCACTTCCCGCAAAAAGTGACCTATTCTAATCGGAAAAAGCCTCCCGATATTTTTTTCTTGGTGTTATAAATAAACAAAATATGGCCCAGTATCCGTTTTTTGATAAAGATTATTTAAATCAAATGTTTTCTTAATGTCTGCGTTTGGTATTCGTTTGTAAATTGTTTGAAAATAAGTTTATGTGGATTCTTTTAGTATACCTATTTTTTAGACCTATATGAAAAATTGTATTAGGCTAGATAAGGGGGAGGCGCCTACTCAGGATTTTGCACACAGTGGAAATGCTAGAGCCTGCCCTGCTGTCTAGAAGACCCGGCAGAGCTAAGTAGTCAAAACAAGGTGACCCTAGCCTGGATGCTAGGCTATGAGGTATATCAGGGCAACGAAAAGGCTGACAAATTAAACCGAAAAGGTTCAAATAAGGCCATGACAGGCCCCGAACCCTTCTGTGGAGTTGTTAAGGCATTGTACAAGGCATCCATCAAAAAATGGATGCAAAAAAGAGTCTCAGGAATGGAGGAGCAACTATCTTTTTTAATATCATTATTAATATTTTCCATATCGACATCATTGCAGTTTGCAATGGTGATCATTTCCACTGCCTTTTGATTTTTCTGTGAAAAACAAATTAATTAGTTTAGCAAATTTATACGCAATTTTTACTATAATTAGGTAATTATGATGTAAAAATAAAGTACCTACATACCTGATGGACAATTCCAGTGAATAACAGACAAAACTCGATAACTGATCGCTATTGAACTTTTTAAAATTATATCGATTTTCTGTTAGAATCTAACCTCAATTTTCTAGATGGTGGTTGTGATTTTTTTCATATTTATTTATAACATCTTTACTCTTGATACAAATTTATAATTTTTTACCTCCCACGTATACGGCACACATTTTCTAATACGTATCAAGTTTGTACTGAATTTTAGATCAAGGACTAATTTTTATCAAGAATAAAAAGAATTGAGAAATTAACAATAAAAAAGTTTTTTATGAACATTTTCGTCAGTCATTTCCTTATCAACAGTTGATTAAATAAATATTATACATTTTTATTATCTGGTAAAATTCACTGTACTATAAGATTTTATTTAAACCCCTCTATTTACAGTCAAAACACTATTCCGTATAAAATGATTTTTAATTAATTTAACTTGTTTAAATCAAGTCCGTCCGAGTTGAAAATGAGACACACCTGGTTGATTTGTTTGTGTTTATTTATTTCAGTGTTGTGTGTCTATGGTGCGGAATACCCGCAAGTAAAAATCAGTGATGGTGTTTTAAACGGTGCTTATTTGACAACGAGGAATAACAGGAAATTTAGTGGATTTAATGGAATTCCGTTTGCGAAACCTCCTGTAGGAGAATTGAGATTTCAGGTAAAAAAAAATATTGAAAAAATATTTTTTGGTTCCAAATTAATTTGAAATTAAATTTAACTTAACTTTTAAAGTATATAAAAATTGTTTTTAAAATAATTATACGTACCTATCTCGTTATATATTTTTCAAATGCACTCTCAAGAGAAGGTTTTAGGGGTTACAAACCCCAACCCTCTCCAAAATGTTAATGATAGTCGATTCTGTTTTATAAACCTACTGAAAAACTAAGAAAATATGAATCTAAATTAAAAACACATATATTTTTTGTAGTTTATTATTAAATAAATCATTTATCATATATTCTATAAAATGAAAAAAACGAGCCTCTATAAAGTATTCCCCCCTAGATGTTCCAAATATGTCCAAAATCGAATTAGAAGGGATTAAATATGACACTCTGTAACTTCAAAGCTTGGTGAAATTTCAAAATGTGGTCTTCAAAAATATGTTTCTTCAGTTTTGCTTAATATTCTTTAAATTTTGAAGTCTGTAAATTAATTAGTTTGGAAATGGTGATAAAACAAAGGCAACAATGACAAATTGTTAAAAAATCGAAATTTGTGGTTTTTAAAATTATATTTCTACACTTTTTGTAAACATTTTATTATATTTTTAAGCCTATGGATCAATTATAGCTATTACGGCTACCTGTATGTATTTGAGCAGACCTGAGTTTGTGTATACTGAGGCCCCTTTACCGACCATACCTGAGATGGGGAGTCACTAAGCCCAAAGTAGTGGACGCGGCGGGCGCTTAAGTAAGACTGGTATCGACTTTTGGCAAATTATAAATGCATTTGACCACGTCTGCCGTTTTGAAATTTGAAAATATATTATTATTATTATTATCAGAAAACAACAATGACAGACCATTATCGCGTATTTAACATTATGACAGTTTTGAAAGTGCTGAAAATAATAAAATTTTGAAAGTAATTGACCAGATCTGCCATTAATATATTTTATTTATTAGGGCCTTAAAAACTTACATTCATCACGGCAGATGTCTTCATTGAGTACACACGTCAGCAGACAACAAAACCTTAGCTACCATCCGGTCAGATATATGTGTATTATGTTCCTTGTTTCACATCAATATGATTTACGTTATTACTTTATTTATAGGAATTAATATTTAATTTAGTGAACTACGGACTAAAATTTATAAGTTTGATAATAAAAAAGTAAATATATTTCGAGAGGATCTCAAATATTAAGGTATATTGCAGATAACAAATAATCTTTTAAATATTAATTTTATTTTCTTCTTTTTATTTATTTGAGACAAAATTAAAAATGAACTAAAAAAATGAATATAAATATTTTTTTCCATTGATTTAAATTTTCTTTCTTAATCATCATCGGAATCATGTCTGTCGTGTGGTGTGACTCGTCTTCGTCATCCATTGAATCGAAATCTGTAAAAATAAAACGTAAATTATAAAATAAAAGTAATTTCTAAATTACAAGGCAAAAATTGTCCAGCATCATAAATTTTTTTTTACTCCTATTCCAGTTTATTTCGTATTCTTATATATAATACCTAACAAGAAGTGAACTAAATATACTTACATTTAAATATTGGTTACAGGTTGCTGAAGCCATATTCATTTAACAAATCTTCCATTTCAATTTAATTTATTCATATACTTATTAATTGAATCACAAAGAATTTCTAACAAAAAGTAGAATACATCCCTAAGATACGACGTAAACTTGTTAAAAAATGGACAATAGGATGATTACGTGCTAATGCCAATTTGTCAGATTCTCTATAAATGTATTTTTGACTTCCGAATATTAAGTATCACATCTCAACATGTACCAGTCAGTGGTTGCATTTTAAAATAAGTTTCAGCTGGCAACATCGTGCAATGAATTTGTACTCGCTAATCTTTTGTGAAGTACATAGATTTTTGATTCGAACTGTTTCTTATTTTGAAATTTAAATGCTTTGAATCGAATTCTTTTATAACATTAAATCAAGTACACGATAGTCGGTTTTAAGAGCATATCAAACAATAAACGTAAGAGCTTTCTTGGATTAATTAACAATTCTAGATTCGAATGAAATAATTTATTCTCAGATTAATTATTATAAATCTTAAAATACAAGATTATGCCTACACTTCACTCAACATTTATTTTCTTATTGTATCGAAAAATATTATTTGAAGCAAACTCTGTTTTATTTCAATCAAATGTAATATTTCAAGTGTAAAGCTTTTCTTGAATGTAGATGATAATTTTTTTCTGTGTATGCATACACCTAGCCGAATAGTAGCTAAGATTTTGTTGTCTGCTGAAGTTTGTACCCAATTAAGACGTCTGCCGTGATTAAGACCTTCATAAATAAACTATATGAATGGAAGAACTAGTCATTCACACATCACAGTTGATATCTTGATACTTGACAGGCACAGTCAAGCATTATTCTGATTTTTGCCAAATAAAATTGCTGGTTAATTATTTTATGGGGTTGCGACAAAGAGCCAGTAAATTTGATAAAGGTGTTTTTGTGGCTAGTGTAACCTGACAAACCGGGTCCTAACCTAGTTTTACAAATATTTACAACCTTGGCCTAAAATATGTCTAGCAGATACCCATGAACTGATTTTTGTAGGACCCCAAAATTTCGCTTAAAGTTCAATGTAGCTGTAATGGAGGAACAAAAAAAAGTAAACACAAAAATAGATTAAGAATAGTTTTATTTAAACTTATTTCATATAGCGGGAAGTTAACAATAATGTTTGTTTAGTTTGACATAACACATGTGTGACCTTTTCCATGTCTCATTTCTAACCGAAGGAATATTAAGCTCCCATAAACCAGTAAAAGTATGATGACAGTACTACAGCATATTTGTTATCCCTTTATAATGCACAATCATACACACTGCCAATATAATACCTGCATACGTATTGTCTGATATAGTGAAGTTCAGCGGTATCACGAAGAGTATGGCGCGATATGAATATGAATATAATTATGTAAATAAGAAGTTTAACCTTATCTTGCGTAACACCTTTCCACTGATATCTCAATACCGTATTTTACGATTGTGCATATATGTGCATATATAACAATAACTTGTACGACAATAGAACACCTGATATAAAGGGGGATGCCCGTTAGGCCCACTTTTGGGGTATCTTTTCTTAAGATCCATCCTAGCTTCTATCAGGCTTTTATGTCCACAGACGTAAGAAAAATGTACCATTTTTAGGCCCTACTATTGAGGTTCTGCACGTTCTATGGGTGGCTTAAGGCTCTTTTTCGGCGCAAGGCTCTTTTGCTCTAATTATCGACAAATAAATGCTATAAATGACAGCTCCGAAAACACAAGCTGTAGTCCCACCTCAATCTCACCTCATTTTTCTAAAAGGATAACAATTATACCGGAGTTCTATAACCGTTTACCCAAACATAATACCAAAAATTATATTGTTACCCGCCTCTGTACTTATTCAATCTTAAAAAGAACTCAAAAAAAGTAAATTCTCAACGTTTAGAAGTAAGACTTGATTTTACCCATTTTTTGCATCATACAGTATGAAAGAAAACATTATTACCATAATTTACTTAACAATAGGACTCGATAAATAAATATAATACAATTCAAACATCTGTTTACCATCTAAACGAACGCAAAAGACGACAATTTATAGCCACAAAAGCAGGTTATTGGTTTCCTAAACTCTAAAATAATAAAGGGCTTTGACACTTGATTCTTATGATCATAAACCAGAAGGGCTTAGTTTATTAGTTGTTGTGGCTGGATTTACAATAATTGATTTTTATGACCGTAATTCTAATTATTAATTATTGTTCTATGAAATAAAATGAAATGCCCTGACAATGAAATGAAACAACTACCCACATAACTTAACAATTACAATTTACTAAATTTTACCCAAATAAGAATTGTTCCCTTTTTAAACACAATTAATTACAAAATGATACCTCTGTAATAAAACCATGCTGCAATAACTGCTCCCCCGGCTGTGTACATGACTACTATACAAAGGACACTAGGTAGGAATGTTCGTCGAAAACGCTGATCTCGAAATGCGTTCTAGAACGGCATTTCCGCGATTCAAACCGATAATCGTAGCGTCTAAAAGAAGATACAATTATCGCTAAAATCTACGAACGGGGATCCCCACAACAAAGAAAAAGATATCGTCGACAAAAATAGAACGACAATCGCAATACTTTTAGTCGTTTTCCACAAGTTCTATACGATTGGATTAAAGGTACTAAATAACTCGCTATTTCTTTATCCGGCGTCGTCACCATAGGCAACGGTTCACAAAGACAAGTCACGCAAAGAATCCAATAACTCGGAAATATAATTCTACAAAACCCTTAGAAGAGAGAGAAATTAAGCTCTTTTAAAACGTCCGTCTGTTTGGTCACCTGATAGGTAACACATAACTACCTCTCGATATACAAATATATAACGAAAGAAGTCACCTTAAAGGTAACGGTGTATAGGGCAACAGAAGTCGTTTCATAGAGAAAATAATTTATCTGCTCCCTCAATATCTTTTACTGCGTTTTCCAAATATAACAAAAAAAGCTGTCACCTTATAGTTAAACGAGATAAACCAATCAATATACTTGAAGAGTGTATAGAAGGGAGTCACCTTAAAGATAACTGAATCTTATACTTTTTTTGTCAACTGGACGTGAGAAAGGCAGAAAGAATTCTAACCCCGTTCACAGAACACTTACTCTTAGAACGGTATCTCCCATGTTAAAAAAGGATGATAGAATTTTTAGCGGCACCTGGTGGACGTGGTTGATTTTTTTCAATTAAGTCCTTGTCTGGTAAGAGGCCATATGAAAGAAGAGAAAATAATAAGAAGAATAAGAGAAGAAAAGCGCGGGTCTATTCAAATTTGACAGTAAAAATTATCCGCATTAAAAACAAGCATATTCAAAAAATAAATTTATTAAAGAATATATATTATATAATACATATCCAATATTTA